GTCCTATCGTTTGAGTGCTGAAGTGTAGATGTTAGCCCTCAGGCGAGGGTAACGTAGGAGTTCCGAAGTGAGAGCCGGTAGCCTCCCAGCCTAGCCACAGATTCAGTAAACAAGCGTAGGATTAGTCAATATTCTTTATATCAGAACCAAAGGGTAAAGAATATGTATGCTCCTATTTGACACAATATAATTTGAACAAATTTGTTTTATCCATTCACTATAATTTCTTGACAATGAGAATGATGTTTTCTTATATATTGAATATTACATTTGAACATTTATTAGTATAATTAGTTATTTAATAGTTATTAAAATTACATATTTATTTCAATTGCCTATTAAGTGACAGATAAGCAAATTGAACTTCGTTGTTGTGATTAAAGTATTGTTTTTCTAATGTCTTAGTTCGTAGTTCTAATCTTACTCCCTGTGGGATCGATCTCTAGGACTCCATTAGAGCCCTATATTACTTGAGTGATACGTATATTTGCGTTGATAAGTGTGACTTTACAATTATTGAATATTTATTACGTCCATTTTTATTGAATCTATAACTGTTATTAAGTTTTGGTACAGTTGCTAAGGAATTAAATCTTTTAGCAACAATATTAAATTCTTCTATTTTTAAACATATATAAAATCGCGGTCAGAAAGCATCTCCCAGAGGATGGCGTGGCTCGTAGAAAAATTATTGCGTCTCTGGAATCAAATTTGAGCCCGGTGTTCAATTCAAAATAGACACGTGTTAGGTGAGTCCCACTGTTTAAAAAAATAATAATAAACATGTATTTCAGTGGGACCAACATTTCCGCGTGACCAATTTTAATTGGGCATCGGACGCAAAATTGCGTCCGGTGTCCAGATGCAATAATCTTCTCGTGACGTGTGTCATCTGTATTATAAAATTAATATTGTTATAGCACTAATTGTAATTTTGATAGGTTTTTTTCCTTTTTTGTAACATACTTGATACTCAGTGTTACATGAGATATTTATCTGAATTTTTATACCGTTTTAAAATAAATTTTTGCTTCTGAAGTATCAATTATATGACTAAAATAATTTTGTTATAAATAACATTACTATACAAGACATAATGATAAAAATAACTGCACCACAATTATCTTAAAACTTAAAGAACCAGAATACCCACATCAGCTTCTTAGATAACTAAGGGCCCGTTTGGGGCAGCTTATAAGTGCGGCGTGTTTTTAAAAACGCCGCCGCACTGTTTATTTTGCACGTTTAGGGCGATTATCAGAAAACTGCATCTCTAAATTAACGAATACGCGATCGCGTGTATAACCCCGCGATCAGCGTTCCGAACATCCTCAACGCGAATATTTACCTGCCTACCCCTCTCGTGACCATCTGTGTTCCCTAAGCGCAACGATTCCGCTCCTCCCTCGGCACTTCCCAATCTCCTAAGAGTGGTAAAAAATCTCGATCCTCTCCTCTCATCTTCACTCCTTTATTTGTTTTCTCATCTTCTCCTCCCCCGCTCTGCCCGAGATCGCCATCCCTGCTGTTGTTCGCCATCCCGATCGTGATCCCTGCTTATGTTCGCCATTCTGATCGCGATCTCTGCTTCTATCGCCATCCCGATCGCGACTCTCGCCTGTGTTCGACATCGCAATCGCGACTCTCGCCTGTGTTCGCCATCTCGATCGCGAGTCTCGCCTCTGTTCGCCACCCCGATCGCAACACTGCCTTTGTTCGCCCGATCGCGACATTGCCGCTTCCTGCTTCCTTCGACATCCATGTATAAACCTCTACCTCTTCTTCAAATCATGTGTGGTTACTTTGGGTGTTTGTCTTCAACCATCTCGGGATTCAGTTATATGTTTTAGCTCACATGTTTTAAATGACATATATGTTTGAAAGGATATACTTAACTTTGCAGAAGTTGAGTTACGGTATTTATTTATGCAGTACGATATTTAGCTTGTTTTGCAGCATTGGGACATGCTTTTGATGAGAAATGTGTTTCATATTTCTTAATAATAGTTGGTCTGTATGATTTCTGTTCGAAAATTTATAGTTTGCTGATTTGAGATTTTCATGTTTCAGGTGGTTTACATCTCTTGGAGTACGTTTTTACATAAAGAAGAAGCACTAACTTTCAAACTAAGATATTCAAATATGATTGAACTATTCTGAAAAGAGTGTATACAAGGAGTTGATGAAGTACATAAAATGGTAAAAAT